CCCCAACCCAGAAAAAAAGACTCAAACAATTAGCATTGAATTAGGCATGAACCCTACCTACCTAGGCAGGGTTCCAAACAGCCCCAGCCTCCCTCCCTCCCGCCCGCTTCAAACCCCTTTCCCGTTCTCTTTCCCCCTCAAAAGCAAGGCATGAACCCTACCTACCTAGACAGAAAACAACAAAATCAGAGTAAAGCGCCCCCTTCAAACCCCTTTCCCTTTCCCCCTCAAAAGTTAAAAGCAAATTTTGAGTACGTTATACCACCCCTCTCCCCCCCCCCCCCCTTCCTTGACAGTCAACACTCGAAAAGAGAAAGGAGCCAGAATTTGCGCTCCTCTGTGCATGCACAGAGATCCTTCATCCCAAAATAACGAAAAGAAGGGCTGATTTTTGCCTGCACGGGCCGTGCCCCATGCAGGTGACCCCCGGGCGACTTGCCCAGGTTGCATGGCCATGCTGCATGGCTGGGCGATGCAAGTAGCGTGGCATACATAGCATTAATAACGTGGATTGCCACTTATAGTCGAGTCCGTTAGGGGACTTTGCAGACGGTAGATAGTTCAGCCTCCTGACGAGCTAAGCTAGTTGCTGAGAAACTCCGATGGAACATATACATATATCTCGTCAAACAGAGCTGCCCGGATAAACCTTAGGCAGAGAGGGAGAAGCGGACAACAAACGAGGGGCCGTGACAAACTGTTTCGTCCGAGTTTCACTGACTCGTCAGGAGGCTGAACCCTAACATATTGTCAAAACTCCGACGAAACAGTTACTCCCAGCCCCTCATTTGTTGTCCTCTTCTCCCTCCCTCTCTGCCGATGGTTTCCAGGCAGCTCCGTTTGACGATATACATCGTCAAACCGATCTGTATCGTCAAACAGATCTGCCTACGGTAAACAGTAGGGAGGGAGGGAGTAGAGGGCAACAAACGAGGGAGGGGCTGTGACAAACTGTTTCGTCGGAGTTTCACCTACCGACTCGTCAAACTCTGCGGACTAAAGGATTACATAATCCTTAAGGACTTTTTGACTGACGAAACTCTGTGGGCTAAGTCTGGGTTAAGCATATATCGCCAGAGTCGCCTGGTTTAGGGCGCCGCAACAACTCGTCGCCAAACTCCTCCGACTCCCGTTACACATCATATAGTGACCGCCGATTAATGATCGCCCTCCTTTTCCAGCAAAAAAAAAA